TTTTAGCTGGCCAGGGTCGGGTTCTAACCTGCCACCCTTCATATATGGGGCTGGCGCCCTACTGACTGAGCCACAGGCACCACCCTTTACCTCCCTTTTTTAATTTTATAAAAATGTTAGAAATTTGAAAAATCATCTGAGTTTTTGCATTCTTAAATTTTGTATAACTAAAAGGAGTGGTAATGGGAAATTGAAAGGTGGTTGTTATTCTCCAGGATAGGAAATTGTCAGATTGATTTCTGAAGATTGAAATATAAGAGTAGCCATTTATGGAAGAAATCTAATATACCATTGCGCCTTAGAATAGTTTATTACCCAGAAATTTGTCATCTGTGTAAGCATCCCACTCTGATAATAGAATTGAAGGGAATTGGATTAAATCAAATCAAATAGAATAGTGTATATCTGCTTCCCTACCAATCTGTATAATAGGTTGGGAAGATAGGTTTAACCTGCAAGATAGGTTTAATTTTGCTTTTTGATATTTCTGATAAAAAACCATTTTAGATTTTGCTCATCTTTGTCAAAGAGGTTTAGTCTTGTGAAGCAAAGCATGATAGCTTTTGGTAGTTCTCTGGAGTAATGGGGTGGGATGTAGAGTATTCTCCTTTCTGATAGACAGATACAAAGAGCTGGAGAAAACAAAGATAGATTTGTGATTAATGATCAGTAGGGATAAAATGCCAGAGCTTTACTCTCTAAATGTAAGTGTTCAAGCAGGATTTTTCTCTGTGTTATAAATATGTGACTTTGTTACAGGAGAAAATGTCCACCTTGGTTCTGGTGATGGGCAACCCAAAGATTCTGGGCCCCTTCCTCAAGGGGAGAAAAAGCTCAAGTGTACAGTTGAAGGCTGTGACCGGACATTTGTGTGGCCAGCTCACTTTAAGTACCACCTCAAAACTCATCGGTGAGCAAGTCTGAATTCTCATACTTGGATATATTGATGCTTCCAGAGGAACCTGGCTCCCCAGTTGACAAAGGAAAGTAGGGTCTCCAGCTAACTTCTGTTTGAAATGTCTTTTACACTTTAATACTAATTGAAAGATTTCCACTGTCTCATTTATCTCATTCTTGATAAATATTTAGTAAGACATTTAGCATCTAAATGTCTTAAAGCAAGAGTTCTAAAATCTCATTATAAACATAGTTTCTTTGAGAACTTATAAAAATAACATATAAACCAGGGCCTATATCTTAAACCTGTGAAGTCAGTTTGGTGTTGAGAGGGCATTTGTAATTTTAACAAACTCTTCAGGTGATTATGGTATACCCAGGTTTGAGATTTACTCTGTCAATAGGAGCTGTCAATAGGAGCTGTCACTTACCATCTCAAGCAAAGAGTGTTTTTTCAGGTATTTTGCTTATATGACTTTTGCAGAAATGACCGCTCCTTCATCTGCCCTGCAGAAGGTTGTGGGAAAAGCTTCTATGTGCTACAGAGACTGAAGGTGCATATGAGGACCCACAATGGGGAGAAGCCCTTTATGTGCCCTGAGTCTAACTGTGGTAAGCAGTTCACTACAGCTGGAAACCTGAAGAACCACTTACGAGTTCACACAGGTGTGTGCCACACCAATGTTCCTCAGCAGTCTGCTTGGCTCAGTGCTTGTTTGCCTACCATTAGGAGAGGCTCAAGTGGGAATAGATGTGACAGTATAGGGTTGTTGCTAGAACTCTGAAGATGGGACTTTTTTTAAATGCATCATGACACTTATAATAAGATTTATTTTATTAATTAAATTTCACATTGTCTCATCTCATTCTTGACAAATATTTACAAATCTTTTTTTTTTTTAAGACAGTCTTACTTTATCACCCTCAGTAGAGTGCTGTTGTGTCACAGCTCATAGCAACCTCCAACTCCTGGGCTTAGGCAATTCTCTTGCCTCACAGCCTCCCAAGTAGCTGGGCCTACAGGCGTCCACCACAACACCTGGCTGTTTGTTTGTTGCAGTTTGGCTGGGGCCAGGTTTGAACCCGCCACGCTCAGTAAATGGGGCCAGCACCCTACTTACTGAGCCACAGGCACCGCCCAAATACTTATAAATCTCAATAAATAAAGTGAACTTTTAACTGTGTGTGAAGAATGACAGTGTGGCTGCCTCTAGGAATTTAACATGTAGGAAGAAATAAAAGAGCATCTCAGATAATGGTGATACGAGGAAATATGGAAATAATCAGTTTGTTTTTAAATATATCTGAACATTGCAGAATTAAATTTTGAGCAATAACGTTTATTGAGTCACATAAACCATGCAGAGTCTGTTGTAGGCACTAAATAGACTAAAGTGGGAAAAATACAAAAGATAAGATATAATCCCATATTTGAGGAGTATGCTTTATTGTTAGAGGCTTACAACATGAAAATCAGTGGGGAGGTGACTTGTTCTGGGTCATATAGCATGTTAATACTAAAAGAGCAAAATAAAGATCCTTGACCCTTAGTCCAGGAGTGTGTGAAATTCCAAGCTACTTGGTTCAGCATGTGCTAGTGTCTTGCCAAAGATAAATTACTGAACTGAAACCACTATCTTGGAATATGTAACTATTCTTCTCCATTCTTTCTTGCCACTCTCTTTTTTTGCTTATTCTTGCATTGGTAAAATGACAACAGGTATAGTTAAAGGACATTTAAAAAGTGAAGCTTGACCTAAAGTCACATTTGTTCTAGGCATGAACCTATGATTTTCTCTAGATTGACATAACCTCTGCATATGATTTGGAGCAGAACAGCTCTATTCTCAGCTGTTAAGAGTAAACTATAGAGCCTGGCCTGGTGGCTCACACCTGTAATCCTACCATTCTGGGAGGTGGAGGCAGGTAGATTGCTTGAGCTCAGGAGTTCAAGACCAGCCTGAGAAAGAGTGAGACTCCTGTCTCTAAAAATAGGTAGGAGTTGTGGGCATCTGTAATTCTAGCTACTGGGGAGGCTGAGGCAAGAGGATCTCTGGAACCCAAGAGTTTGGGGTTGCTATAAGCTATGATGATGCCATGGCACTCTACGCAGGGTGACAGAACAAGACTTTGTCTCAAGAATGAAAACAAAGGCTCAGCGCCTATGGCTCAAGTGCTTAAGGCGCCAGCCACATATACCTAAGGTGGCAGGTTTGAATCCAGCCCGGGCCCACCAAAAACAACAATGATGGCTGCAACCAAAAAAATAGCCAGGCGTTGTGGTGTGCGCCTGTGGTCCCAGCTACTTGGGAGGCTGAGGCAGGAGACTCACTTGAGCCCAGGAGTTGGAGGTTGCTGTGAGCT